TGTGGATAATTATCCTCCTTTTGAGAAGTAGCTCCTGGCCTGCTACTGGGCCATAGTACAGACTGAACACTTAACCATGGGCCACCAAGTTACCGTGTGACTTGAGTTGCCCTTCATGAACTGGGTATCATCTGACCCTTCAAGCCATGAAGTTGGGTGAGTATAGCAGCACTGCATCATCCTTTGGAGTGGTATGTATGTGATTGGGTGCAAGTAGGCCCTGAAAGCACTGCCCAAATGCACTTCTGCTATCCTCCCTTTTCTTTCCTAGTCTATACCTATTTTCCTTATGGGGAGTTCTACAGTCAGTTGACAGAAGAATAGAAGACTTGGGCCTGGTTTACAGATGGTTCTGCATAATATGCAGGTGCCACCTGAAAGTGGACAGCTGCAACATGTAGCCCCTTTCAGGGATGTCCCTGAAGGAGAGTGCTGAAGGGAAATCCTCCCAGTGGGCAAAACTTTGAAAAGTACACCTGGTTGTGCACTTTGCTTAGAGGGAATATGATTGGCATATTGGTGACAAGGAAATCTGGGGAAGAGATATGTGGATAGACTTCTCTGGGGGAAAAAAAAAGATATTTGTGTCTCATGTGAATACTCACCAAAGAGTAACCTCAGTAGAGAAGTATTTTAATATTCAAGTGGATGAAATGACAGGTTCTGTGGACACCAGTCAGCCTCCTTTCCCAGCTACCCTGTCATCACACAATGGGCTTGTGAACATGGCTACAATGGCAGGGATGGCGATTTTGCAGGGGCTTATCAACATAGATTTCCATTCACCAAGGTTGACCTAGCTTTAGCCACTGCTGAGGGCCTAATCTGCCATCAAGCCAGAGACTAACACTAAATCCTTAATATGGCACTGTTTCCCTGGGTGATCAGCCAGTTACCTGGTGGCAGGTTGATTACATTACACTGCTTCCATCATGGAAGGGGCAACATTTTGTTCTTACTGGAAGAGTTACTTTTGATATGGATTTGCCTTCCCCTCATGTAGTGCTTCTGCCAAAACTACCATCCATGGATTTACAGAATGACTTATTCACCATCATGGTATTCCACACAGCATTACTTCTGATCAAGGAACTCGATAGGAAATAAAGTGTAGCATTGGGCCAGTGCCCATGGAATTCACTAGTCTTACTATGTTTCCCACTATCCCGAAGCAGCAGACCTGATAGGATATTAGAATGGACTTTTAAGGAGGCTAAGGAGATGTGTATGAGTGCCAAATTCACAAGGGGTAAACTTGTGATGGTTAATTTTATGTGTTATCTTTTGTTATTTCTTTATTTTTTATTTATTTTTATTTTTTTATTTTATTTTTTTTAAAGATTTTATTTATTTGAGAGAGAGAGAGAAACAGCATGAGAGGGGAGAAGGTCAGAGGGAGAAGCAGGCTCCCTGCCGAGCCGGGAGTCCGATGCGGGACTCAATCCCAGGACTCCGGGACTATGACCCGAGCCGAAGGCAGTCGCCCAACCAACTGAGCCACCCAGGCACCTGTCTTTTGTTATTCTTTGAGTGTAGTTGACACACAATGTTACATTAGTTTCAGGTGTACAGCATAGTGATTCCACAAGTATATACATTATTCTGTGCTCACCACAACACTATTATATCATTGACTATATTCCTTATACTGTGCCTTTTTAAAAAACGATGTTATTTATTTCAGAGAGAGCATGAGTTGGGGGGGCAGAGGGAGAGGGAGAAACAGACTCCCCACTGAGCAGGGAGCCTGACACAGGGCTCGATCCCAGGACCCTGGGATCGTGACCTGAATGGAAGGCAAACGCTTCACCTACTGAGCCACCCAGGTGCCCCTGTGGTGTGCCTTTTATGTGACTTATTCATTCTATAACTGGAAGCCTTTATCTCCCATTCACCTTCACCCATTGTACCCATCCCCCAATTCCCCTCTCCTCTGGCAACCACCAATTTGTTCTCTGTATTTATTTATTTGTTTTGTTTTTTAGATTGCACATATATGTGCACTCATACGGTATTTGTCTTTCCCAGTCTGATTTATTTCACTTAGCTTAATACCCTCTAGGTCCATTCATGTTGTTGGAATGGCAAGATCTCATCCTTTTTTATGACTGCGTAATATTC